TGTTACCTTAGTCTCAATCAGGCTTCGTTCAGTAAGGTAGCAATAGGTAGGTCTACTACAATATATTATGCCTATATGACAGTCTTTTGTTGTGCTACACTATTCAAATTTACTTTACTGGTGGTAAACAAGTCCCTAAAAAGTCCCTTGGGCTATATTTGAACATAGCAAGAAGCCCATGGTTCAATTGTAATTGAGCTTTGGAATAAATCCAAATTTCCTTTTACTTCCGCATTCCAATGCATAATCAGTGGCATATCTAGGGTTTGCATGGAAGGTGGGGGGAGGAGGAGTGAGGGTGTGTGAGGGTGCAACCATATCCCCCTCCAATTGAAAATGTTCAAAACAAAAAAATCATGCCCAGGTACAAAAAAATCGCCTCATATCACCTTTCTTACTTAATCATTGAGTCCCCTCCCCCACTTCACCTTTGCACCCAATCAGCACCACCATTTCAAGACTCCTAGATATATGCTACCGTGCACAGTTAATCAGTAGGTCTACCACCAGAGCCTACTTAAACAGAGTATCACCTGCAGCTTCTGACATCAGATAACTGCTAAATCTATCAGATAATATTTACTAGAGAGCACTCGGAGAGTGCATACCTCCGCTCACATCATAATTCTCCTCAGTATAAATTTTCCCCACATATTTTTCCCATGAAAAAAAAAATAATGAAAAAAAAACAAGTAGACTCCTTGAGTTGGTAGTGTGAAAACTCTCTTCTAACCACTATACCAAACTTTTTTCACAAGCCTGTATAAGCACACACACATCTATACAGCAAACAGTTATACAAGTTTTTTTATCATTGTGTTCTTGACCTTTGACCCTAACCCTTCAAAATTTAGTCACTTCCAGATCTTTGGTAAAAGAACATTGTGGCCAATTTTCACAAATTTCTGACAAAAACTGATTGTGACCTAGACCTTTAACCTTACCCTTCAACATTCAAATACCTTGACATCTTTGGTCATGGAACATTGTGACTAAATTTGATAAGTTTGTGATTAAAACTATGGGCAGTAGACAAATAAAGAAAAAAAATAGTTTTTTTTTTATTGTGATCTTTACCTTTGACCCTGACCCTTCAAAATTAAATCAGCTCTAGGTCTTAGATAAAGGAACATTGTGACTAAGTTTGACAAATTTCTGATGAAATCTATGGACTGTGGCTGTTCACAACAAATATGCTGACAGACAAATAAATAAATAGGGACAAAAACATAACCTCATGCCACTTCGTTGGCGGAGGTAATAAAATGAATGTACCCATGTCCTATCCCAAGACATATTCCCACTTATGGTCTCAGTTTATTTTACTAGTTTATAGGTGTCCGTGGAGGGCTGGCCGCAGGGGTTTAGCCAGAAAAATGAAATAGGTCGTCCAAAATGGAAGCCAGTGTGCGTGGCCTTGAGCCGATGGACATGCCACGCCCCCTCCTAAACATGAGAAAAAAATTGAAAATTGTGATCTTCAGAGGGCATTTAAAGGTGTTTAAATGTTGGAATAGTTTTGAAATGGCTATCACAAAGATATTTCAAATATAGACATATAGATTGCGCACGGCTACCATTACTTACATAATTTTTCTAGGCTGTGCAGATGCATCTTCATCTCTCGCCTTAGTCTAGTGTAAATTCTACTCTAGGTCCTTTCTAAACCTACTGTTTTTCGTTGACTAATAAAGTTTAACTTGTGACGTAAAATACAAATCTTCTTTACGGTATTTCATGAATTAATTATAACCAGAGAGTTACGAACACAACAATATTATGTTCGGCCACTGAATATCAAGTAACCATCCATTGTGTATCCGCAATGTAAAAGTTTGCTAATTGTGAATTGTGAGAAAACAGATGCGAGACATTCTTTAGGGTTGAGATATTTGTCTGCATGAGATCCAAGAACCGTAACTGTGCAAGGTGATTTAATGCTTCGGAAAGAATTTCTATTAATCCTGGGTTGTTGCTGAGCTTCAGTTCCTGCAGGTATGGCATTTCCTTGAATGCAGCATGTGGCACATAAGTAATATCATTGTTTGACAGATAGAGATGGGTCAAAGATTTCAAGCCTTTCAACATCCCAGAGTAACCATCCATTTTCCAGCAGGGTATAAATGTTGTTAACACGATGTGTGTTGCAAGTGAGCTTTTCACCGGGTAGGCAATGGATAAGGCTTACATTTTTGGGAATCCTCATCAAATATTGGTATGAAAACAACTTATATTTAAATAATAAAGGTTGTTTTTATCAAACGTAAATATAATTTAGATTTAGTTTAATGTAACAATTGATAGATTTAAAGAATATAAAGAATTTCCTAAAGGTAGACCAGTCCCAATTAGGCCAAGCCGAGCTGATTAGGCCAAGCCGAGCTGATTAGGCCAAGCCATCCAACCTGTTATGGTGAACGTGGGCGTCCTAAATAATTATTGGCCATCCAAAAGACGGCCGGACGGCTCGCTAGCTAACCCTATGGCTGGCAGTTAGACGTGGCACAAGTTTATTGTATTTTCGTAGTGTTAAATAATTTCAAAGAGCACCACCAATGTTTGTTTTTGTTTTGTTGTTGAATTTGGATAATCCCAGAAAAAAGTATATTATGGAATACCATGCAAATAAGTACTATGGAACGCCATTGGTGCCAAAATATTTGTAATAGTTTTCACTGATCAAGACAAAATTAGGGACTGAAACTCAGTCTAGGCTGGCACTATACTCATTCCAAAACAGTTGCCAGACTGACACACAGTCAGAGTAGAGGTTATCATCATCATCATCCCGTTTGTTCCCTCATGGGGGTTGGGTCGTCTCATTATCGTTCTCCATTGCTTTTTAAGAACATTTGCATGCAAATGTCATGAATTCCTACTTGACGTATTTCCGAGCGGTAAAGAAATGACTAGGAATCCCTCTTTGACATATAAAATATAAACACAGCTCACAATGTTGTAAAACAACTCTCAAATAAACTTTTATTCTGTATAAACTCCAACAAGAATCCGGTATCAAAATAACATAACATTCACATAAACATGTGTTTCAAAAAGAGCTCCAGAAAGATCAAACTGTCAGCTTATATACCCTAGCTGCACTATTCCAGAGCATTCAAGATCATTCTATATTGCCTAAGTTCCTCATTGGTCACCTTACATTATAATTAACCAATTAGGCTTATTTACCTCTATAGTACCAAAGATTCTAGAAGCTTCCATATATTCCTCTTGGATTCTACATGGTGTCATGTGTTCCTAAAATTACCAATGAGGTTTACACTGTTTCTATGATCAATTAAATGTTAGAATGTTCTATGTATTAAATATGTTAAAGTAAGGCAAGGAATGGTAATTTAAAGTTTTTTTGAAATACAGTACAAACCAATGTTATAATCTGAATACTGTATGCTTTCTTAAATATAATATAAATCATCACAGGTACATATACAGTGTTTAAATTATTAATTTAAATAATTTTTTTATACTTTCAATTTTCAGCCTGATTCATTGTAAATGTCAGGTATTAAGGCTTAGAGACAATAGAGTCATGGCAGTGATCATTAAAACTTGCATTCGATTTTGTCTTGCATCATTTGGCTCTTCCAAGAAATTGAAGTAGGTCATGCCTTCTGAGGAAAGTCTCCTTGTGATTGTTGTCATTGGTTCTGATGGAACTTCAGAGCATGTAGCAGTCTGTAGTGGATCGGACTTGGTACGTTCATACCAGGTCTCCCATAACTTAAAACTTTCATCACAGACCAAAGGTGTATCCGCAATGTAAAAGTTTGTTAATTGTGAATTGTGTGAAAACAGATGCGAGACATTCTTTAGGGTTGAGATATCTGTCCGCATGAGATCCAAGAACCTTAACTGTGCAAGGTGATTTAATGCTCCAGAATGAATGGATATTAATCCTGGGTTGTTGCCGAGCTTCAGTTCGTGTAGGAGTGGCATTTCCTTGAATGCAGCATGTGGCACATAAGTAATATTATTGTTTGACAGATAGAGATGGGTCAAAGATTTCAAGCCTTTCAACATCCCAGAGTTAATTGTGGTCAGCCGATTGTTCTGAAGAAAGAGACGCTCAAGACTTGACAGCTCCTGGAAGGCCTTTTCTTGGATTTTTTGCACTTTATTGTGGGAGTGGTCCAGGTAGAGCAATGTTTTATTCAGTGGGTCAAAGATCTTTCGCTGAATCCTTGTAAGTTTATTTCCAGAGAGGTACAGGTATTTAAGTGATGTCAAGCCTTCAAAGGTATCTTTTTCAATATTTGTGATGGCATTGCTATTCATAAAGATCTTAATCAATGTACTACAATTTTCAAAGACTTTAAGTGAGACGGAGGTTATCTTAGCTGCCCCAAAATCAAGTTCTTTTAGGTTTGGGTAGTAATCATCAATTCCTGTTGAAAACCTTTTCAGGTGATTATAACGCATATCCAGATGTTTTACTTCAGGGCAGGTTTGTCTCGGAATATCTCGCATGTCAAGCTCCTTACAGTTGAGGATTCCAGTTTGTTGGTCTAACCGACAACCGTCTTGCAAACCACAGGTATCTGACTGTTCTCGCACAACAGAGTAGCAGAATACTTGCGTAGTATCTATGTTGATGAGCATGTAAATCAACAGCCACTTCAATGGACACCTCATGCCACCGTATTCCTTGATTGATGTTATTGTGAACAGATATCTCATCTTTGTTTTCTGTAATGAATATAAAAATAGAGTGTACCAAAGTCATATATACAGTATATCATTTTATTCAATCAAAAAATATAACACATCATGGCCAAGGGTAAACTATACTATTGAATATTATCACTGTCAGGTGTTTGTTTGGTAGAAGTAATATACAGAGTACATTGAAATCCATTGAGTACTTCAACATACAACAGTTGTGAACAAATTACTGAAGTCTCTCTATACTTTATAACACTACAGATCAATAAACATGTAACCCCATTGTAACACTTACCACAGACATAGGTGAGGAGGAGGTTAAAATAATCCCTTGTTTATTATTTCCAAGCCAAAAGCGCTAGATCATTACTTACAGGAGAGACATGAAGTCATTTTTCATCATAAATAATACATTATATAAATAGAACCACTATTTCCCTAATACTAAAACTGATAAAAACCAAAACACTACAAAACTTGTATACAGCTTAAAACAATAATATTAGAAATATATATCAATATGGCTTTTTTTGGGGATTTGAAGGAGAGAAGGGGTTCAAAATGTTTTCAAAAAATCCCCAAAAGAAAGTGGAGTCCAGGGATCCTCCCCCTGCATAATTTTGATTCCTAGTAGATGGCGGGAAATGAGCTTTCCCATTTTCTGAGGTGACTTTTAAATTCTTCAAAATTCAAGGTTTGTTGCTTGAAAACAGCCAGGTAAATTTTTCTCATTCTTATTACAGTAAATAGGCCTATTAAATATGTGTATATAATGTACATACAGGAAAAAGGAGTAGTTGCATATGTTCCATGAATCGATGAACCGATAGGCATAAGAACACACTTTTGTACAAAAATTATGTGTATGACATCGACTTCGACCAAAAAACAGTGTTATTAATTTTATTTAATTGAAGGCTAGTTAGGCTAAGCCTTGTTTGTCCGATCTGTCAACTTATGCCTTGGTAGGTTACCATGCCTTTTGTAGGCCAGGACCCAGTAGTATTTTTGTTTTATAAAAATAATATAAAAACTTATCTATTTGAGACAAAAGGTAACAATTGTACCCAAACCAATAGACCATGACATACAATTTGCCAATGTGATATATAATATAATAATAATAAATGTGATAAAAAATAATAACTGTTAATTTTTAATTGCCTGGAATTTTATATTTTTGTAATTTTATCATATTCAATCTCTCAATTCAGCGCATGCAGCAATAGACTGTTTTGAATGACAGGGGTTTTTTTTGCAATAAATATACCCAAATATATAATAAAGAATTTGAATCTGAAATAATGCAACAATAATCTAAATGATAAGTACAGCCTTTTAATCTTTATTATGGATATCTCTTCCCACCACCCCTACCCCCACTCCCACTCCTCCCTTTTTCATAAACATTAAAAACACAGTTATACGAAAATATATAAATGCAATTGCAAAAAATGTCATTAAAAATTCCTTCCTGGATATGGGCTTGGGATTGGAGGCCAAAAAACTCATGTTGCATATGTTAATGCTGTTCTAATTATAATTCAGAGTACCACTAAATTATTAAGCATTACAGTTGTTTATAGTCTTTTACTCTAACATCACAGCTAACTAACAATCACAAATTTAAAATAATTCCAACCATTACCTTAATCTTGATTAGGCATATACTACCCTTGTGGAAATGATTTTTTTGTTGGTGTGGTAAAACTATATAGCTTGAAATCAATGCCTATTGTGTTTTTCCAGGATTTTGAAAATGCAAATTGAGACAACATTGCATAGGTGAAGTACCTGCTGTACCCCTGGGTGACCAAATTTACACTTGACTCACTTGAGTTGATAGATTTATTTAGTTCCTTGATAACTTTGTTGTTGTTGCTAAAAATAGATGCATTGCATTGTTTTGCACAGTTAATCAGGAATTTTATTTTTCTATTAATTTCTCTGAATTTTAATGTTCCTACATTGTGTCTTACTTTTTTATATAATCAGTTTATTAAAACATGTTCAATGTAATAATTTTATAATTAATTTCTTAATTTGAATGTTTTTTTTATATTGTTTTTAACAATTGTTCTAATCACTTTTTAATGTACTATATTTTCTAATTTTTGATATTTATCCTTTTATATAATCCAAATGATGTATTTACATATGTAATGAAATTAAATTGAATTTGAATTTGAAGGAAAAATGTGGTCCGGGCCTAAATCAGCATACATGCCAAGTTGGAGGTAGCTGGTGGCTTGAGATTTAACAGGAAATAAACGCAATTGGTGCAAGTCGAGGGCCCACCTAGGGCCTGAAAAAATTTGGGCTTAGATGCTCTCTACTCTGAATAGATGCTCAAATTTTTTCTACCTATGCTACTCAAAGTACTAAATTAGGACTTTTTGTGCATTATAGGTTTGTGAGGTCCTGCAAAAATGGATATGTTGTAATTCAGAGTGTTAATTATCATACAAATATGCTGTCTCAATTCTCTCAGACTTGACTCCATTAAGTACACATTGATCAATTTATTTTTATTGTATGGCCTGTTGCCGGTACAATGAACAGATACATTATTGGGCTTTTGGCGGGACTGTCCCACTTTAGCCAGCAAACAATTTTTTTTCAGTATAGTATTAACATACTGGATGTTTAGATACTTAATAGATGTGATTAAATTAGATTTAAAAGAAATTGAAAAATGATTGTTATAGGCACTCTTTTATTTATTTCAATTTCAGAATATAGAATATATTCCACCCTTTGTGTTTACATCACCCTATGGAGTAAAGAAATGTATGACTTTTAATTACATTCATACAAATTCAAGTTGGAATAGTCCACTAGGACAACAATTTTTTGCCATTTTACTTGTAAAAATGTTATCATGGACACTGTATACAATTAAAGCCTACTTTAACAACAACAACAACAACTGGTAATTTATGGAGGACCAATGTGATTGTTATAGAGACCTATATAATTTTATAAGTTGTGATTTACCAAAGTAATAGAATATAAAACTTTTTAAATCTTAGATATATTTCTTTTATAAAAAATTATAGGGAAGTACAAAAGTACAGGTTTGAAGTACGAGAATCGAGTGAAGTCAAGTTTGCTGTACAGGTGTTCACTGCTTTGAATAGCAACAACTATGTTCGATTTTTTAAACTTGTTAGGTAAGTGTGAAGTAAATTGGTGTTAAAAAACTCACCTGTAAGATGTATAATAGATGTAAATAATCATTGAAATTTTAAATTATATAGCGTGTCAGATATTTATCTCGGAAAATTAGTCCAAATTTAAAATTGTGGGTGTGCAAAATTCAAGATAAAATTCCTCAATAATATATGCACACTGCTTGAGGAAGATAACCTGGTTTTTCTTCCTTGACACAATGTACTCATTTAAAATTACTGATGGCTTGAGTAGTTTCACCAAGGAGAATTTTTATTTTGTCTAATTGACAAGATTCATTAGGTTAACCAAAATAAATTCAGGGCTTTAGAAAATTTCAATCAAGATGATATTCTCTTACAGATGTGCTACATACCTGAATGCCTGTGTTCTGCACCGGTATTTTACACAGATCCGAAGCAGTGCCCTCGAAACAATGGTGAAAGCATACAGTACTACTCGTGGCGGATCTTACCCGTTGGTTGATTTTGTGCGACAGCTTATCTTTGAAGATGAGAGAGAGGTTTGTAGCTGCTGTCTATTTCGTGAATACTTACCTGGATAAACCGATAAATGCCTAAGTTTCCTTTGGAACTTACCTCTCGAGTATGAAAGAAAAATAATGGACTCGCCATACAGTAGCTCGCCTATATACGTCCTGCAAAATAAGCAATTCAGGTGTTGAAATTTATTTTCCAGGTGTTAAAGATGGTATATTTTTATTATCAGCCTGTATTGTTTAACAATAATATTGATATTTAAGAAAACTTTTTTGGGCACTTTAGGGTAGTATTTTTACAACTAAAAATCTATTTAAAAATTTTTTGAGAATACATATATTTCAGGCTGCTCTCCATCAACCTGTGGCAGATGGCAGTGTGTGTGTGTTCTATGATCTTATCTGACCGTGCTTTGTAAAACAACCACATATCAAACACAGTGTTAGTGCAACTAGTTAGATCTGATCAAAAATTTAAATTAGAGGGGGAAGTTTTTGACTGTTTACCAATGCTCATTTTATAAGATGTCAATTGTAACATGTTTAGTATAATAGTTCATTCACAATCTTAATTGTAAGATCTTTTTAATATTTTTTAGCTCTTTTACATATGAATATCTATTTCATACACATTTTGATGAGCAGTAGACCTTTCCGAAGTGACAATCAAACTTTAACAACTGACCATTTAGAACAGAGCCAGGAAAATGTGCGTGTCCTGGTATTGGTACTGGTACGAGTATTTATAATGGGCCTCTTCCTTGCGGTTATAAAGCGCAGTTCCTTTCCCTGGTTATTGGGTCCAAATGCTTTAAGTGTTGCTGCTGGTAATCAGTGCAGGAGCAGGCAACCCCACCAGGTACCCATTTATACTCCTGGGTAGAGAGAAGCAATGCAGATAAAGTGTCTTGCTCAAGGACACAAGCGAAATGCACAGCGAGGGATTGAAACCCCGACCTCAAGGAAATGTCCGATTTGAATGATTTTTTTACCATTTTATAGCTATTATTTTACTCTCTAACACTGTATTAATAACTCAAAATCGATTTTTGCGACAAGTGACTGGTTTGGCTTGTCTTTGCCACATATGTTTTTGCACCATCGATTTGTGAGACCTTGGCAACAATATGTTTTTGCACCATCGATTTGTGAGACCTTGGCAACAATATCCAAGGGACTAGTAATTGCATTTGTTTGGTTTTTCCACAACTGTATTATTCTGGTTATGGCTATAGACATGGCTGCACACATTGTGCAGTGTTAACTATGATGGAAATTTACTTTGTTAAAAATTCTTTAGATGTTTGTTAACTTTTTTTTCCCTCAAACTATTTTTAGGAACCTTATATACCTAACAACAATTGATCTTATTATATTATTTTAACTATTTTTTTTCAACTTTCAATTCATGAGAACAACATTAGCTATACTAAGTCTATCGGTAGTTGAAGTTTCAAAAGGGCGTAGATGATGTTATTATTCCTGATGATGACATAATTAATGTCGAAATATTAAATCCCAACACAATGGTGTGTATTTCAATACACACCATTATACTTTTATTATACTTTCTTACCTGTAGATGGAAATATGTTCCAATATTAATGTGAAATGTTCTCTAATAATCCTTGGTTCATTGGTTTTCCTGTTTCATTTGCCTTGACATCTGATTGTTTTGTTTTCTATATGTAAAATTTTAATATGTATTATGAACCAAATAAAATCAATCACTCATTTAAGTACATTCTTAAACATGAAATAATTTTCAAATATAGAATCATAATGGCTTGCATGACATTTTTTGAAGTTAAAAATTCATACTATCAAATATAGAATACAATTTTTTTTAAATATCTACGTTATCTATTATTCTTATTTTTTTGTAACCATATAAAATGTATATAAACTTATTTTTATAACAGGATATATAATAATGTACAACTTAGTTTTACTGTGTAACTCTGTAATATTTCTATAAATAATAATATAATTGAAAAAATACTGCTCGAATAAAGGAACAATGATCAAAAGATTGTATCCGACATAGCCTATTAAAATAGAATCCATTACATAACAAAAACTTACCGCTAGGGAAATTTTTAAAAAAATTATTGGAATTTTTCCATTGATAGGCTATTTCTGATACGGTCTTATACTATTCTTTATTCAAGCACTATTTTTACCCTTTTGTAAGTGATATGCACCAGTCTGCATTACCTATGTATGTGTGTGTGTGTGCTGTCTCTTATACACATCTAGATGTGTATAAGAGACAGTATATATAGTGTATAATATACCGAATGGAATGAGCACTTTCATTCCATCCTAATATCAGTGAAATATCCAGAATTAAAACTAATGATGATAAAGAAAATGGCTGTCACTATAGGTAGATAAGTTGCATCACAGTAGAGTGGTTGACGATAATTCCTGAATAATGATAAACACAAATAATGAAAGATGCATAGCAGGAGTTTTTTAACAAAAATATATAAAATAAACTTTATTTAAAATGGGAACTATTGTCAAATTTACCCCTGTGTATTGTTACATTACGGTAGGCATCTGAATTCTGTGCCTCTCATGGGCTTGAGGTTACTGATGGTGATATCATATTTGAAAGCAAATCTTCCTTTGTCCGGCCTAGTAGTGCCATAAGTGCCAGGAGGGCAGTGAAGCTAATTGAGGCCAAGAATGAGCTTAGCATCGGACAGGTAATTATACTTTATTTTTATTCAGGTTTATTTATTCAAAAAATTACATTCATAAAAAACAAACAAAAATTCACAGTCACCAATCAAAAGTCAATAGCAATATAAAATTTAATTAAAGACTTGTGGTACTGTATTAATAAAATTACAGCTTATAAATGTGTGTGCAAAATTATTTTGTTATATAAAAAAAATATTAATTCTAACCTTTTTCACCTTTCCATTGCTGTTTATCAAGGGCGCGCTTTTGTTTAACTACGTAATTTTTATAGGCCTAATATTTGAATATACTGAAATCGAAGTGCAAGTAAAATTTTCCTTTTTTTTTTTTTTTTTTGGTTGTTTGGTGTTAGAGTATTTTCTTGGTCTGTTGTTTTGCCTGTACCTGTTAAAATGTTGTTTTGTTCTCTCTTTTTATTGATTTAATTGAATTAATTAATTTAATTTATTAATTAATTGAACTTTTTTCTTGTTTTTTTCTCAATTGTTCTGGTCTTTGTAATGAAATTGTCCATGTTAATGAAATTGTTATGTTGTACTATTTTACTTCTCCGTTCAATTGAATTTAAATTGAATTAAATTAATAATAATAATTTTAAGATTTATAAAGCTCACACAGCTGTTGTAGTAGTGCACAAGGCACTACAGAAGGATGGAGCCAAAAATTACCTCCTTAAAACCATCAGAAAAAGAAACACCACACACATCGTTTACAGGCAGATTGAGGCACAGGGCCGGCCTATTCATAATTCACAGGTGCTCAAGATGGAGATACTATTGCTGTAGAATTATTGTGGAAGCAGTTCGTGCAACAGTTATGGCTCAGGGTTTTGAAACTGTTCAAGTCGCTTGTGTCCCTAACAAATTTGTGTGAATTGTACATATATAGAAATGATGATGTCGTATCACATCCATATATGGACAAGATGATGTCATATCACATCCATATGGGCATGATTATGTCATATACCCATATATAGTCAAATCACATGCATTTGTCACATAAAATTTGATAGTATGGGTTAGATTTATGGAGTCATATTTAACTTTGAATGTGTTTGCAACCAAATGTTCCAAGCATTTTTAGGATTTGACACTTGACATTCATTACTTGACATAAGTAATGAAATACATCAAGCAAAATTGTTCAGTACATTTTTAGTTGTAAAAACAAAGATAAGATAATATCAGTATTGTGGCTCTTTAAATATGCAGTTTTTATCCCTTTTCTTTTCTTCATTTAGGTTGTAAATAACCGACAACCCTTACCTCCACTAGAACCCCATATTCCGATAACTAGTTTTGATTCTGAAGGCAAATTCATCGGACAAAATAAGATGATGCCTGGTAAGTTCTTAGTAATTTATATTTAATGTAAATAAGGCTATGAATTGCATGTCTGTTAATCACAAAGTTGATTAGAAGTCCATAATATTTCATTGTTTTGAGAGCCAGTTTGAATAATATTTCCATCAGATTGTGGTTTGACTGAACAAAGTCTACTAATATGAAGCACATAGCGTAGCTTTTTTTGTAGAATGGCCTCTTCAATATTGTTATAACCATAATAACGGTGGGAGATATAAAGATTGCCAATAATTTATTTTGTGTTCAATTATAGGCATGAGTTGGCATTGTAAACTACTAATATATCCTTGCTCTTTTGAAATGAATCGAAACTTTTTTAAACAAATACCAGTAGCATGATGCACAATAATTGTCAATATACAGTAGACGTTTAATAATTGGCCGAAGAATGTTATCATTTGTTGTTTCTGTTATTGTTTATTGTTAGTTGTTTGTACATGTCATTCATAATAGTTAATATAATATTCTTATATTTATGGATGACTTACCTACTGTAATTATATCAGTAAATTTGCTGCAAACAGTAAATGTAATTCAAAAAAAAAAAAAAAATAATAATAATAATAATGATAATAATATCAAATAATTTTGTGTGTATGATTTTAGTATTTTAGTCAATAATATTTTTTGTTTTTGTACATAATAATTAAATTATGAATATAGAATTATGATTATGTTTTAGCAGTAACAGTAGAGGCAGTGGCACCAACTGTGGTTCAGCTTCAAACCATGCAAGAAAAAGAAGATACTAAACAACCAGAATATACAAATGAACAGGTGATTTATGTAAATTACATTAATGTTGCTGAAGGTAACAATTCAGGACCATGTTGCTCATGTTTTCACAAAGTATTATTTTCTTGACATTTATGTATTAAAGCAATATTAATTTAGTTGAAGACCTCTTCCATCATTTGGTAATTTAAAAGTTGTATTTGACCAATCCAATAAAGCTATGTGCTTGCAATCAAAAGATTTTTCAACCTACCTACTTCTACATTTTTTAATTATGGGACTGTTGAAGAAGCCAAAGCAATAATTTTAATTTAGGCCTTATTATTTACTCATCAAACTACACCTCCTCCTGAGTGATAACACTAAATACTTCATTATCTAGATAGAATGACCAAATGAATGTGATTTTTTTGATTTTTTTTTGTAAAGGTAAAGGGAGTAGCAAAAGAACTATTTATTGAAGTGATCAATGAGATGTGTGTGGAGCTTAGCACAAGATTATTTAACGTTCTTAATCATCTCATGAAAGACGAAGCTCCTCTGATCCTGGAGAATTTGTTGCATGAAGTGACGGGACGTATGATACTTGATACTGCCTCCGTGACATATGAAGAAGCACAGCTTGCCTGGAAACGAGTCCAAGAGGAGCGGCAAAGGTCAGATACTTGTTTTATGTTTAGAAATTAACCCCCAAAAAGATATTTTATATTAATTAATAAATTAGCTTTTTAGCATGTCCCAGGCAATAATAATTGTTGTTCGATATTATTTCTGAATAATGATTTTTAAAGATTTGCTGGGTTTATGCAATATGTTGATTTAGAACTTTTTGAAGCCTAGACATAGGCCTGTAACCGGTAAACCAACTTTGTTGCACAGACATATCATTCATACATGCTGAGAGTGATGTGTTGGCATCTAACTTTGGTGGTGTATATCTTGTTTTAGTGATTCATTGTGATGCACTGCCATATTCTATTGCTCACTATAAAATTAATGTCCTGTTCAAATGTTTACCCAATCAATCATTCAGTCAATCAATCAATCAATCAGTTTATTTCACTTGCATCGATATATTACAGTACACCGTACAATTTCTAACAATGCAAAGGCGGAAGTCACAGTAAACTTACCTTGAATTTGGTACTCATTTGTGTAATAATTACTACAATAGTAGGTCTCAGAACTATCCACTTTCAATGTTTACTTAATATAAGTAGGGACTTTTGAGGTAATAATTGCAAAAGGTTATCACACAAATGCATATAATGCTTACCTTTAATATGAACTATGATGGGTTACATCGCATTGTTACTAGATTAGTGGGTACACTACCTAAAAAAGTTATAGACAATCAGCTTCCATTCATCTGAAGAAGTGCCCTGTTTGCATGAAAGCTAGTGTATTGTCAATAAAACTAGTATTTAAATTACTTCATGTCCAGTGTTTTATTTACTACAATCAGCTCTGTTTTTTACAGAAATCCCCCTAAAATGTTGTGCAGCAATTGAGTATAGAATAAACATATAATCTTTTTTGAAAGAAAACAATTGTTATTTTACCTTCCTTCGCTTGGTTTAACTTGAAATAACAGAAAGCTCTCAGTTTATTGTCCATAGTAGTAAAAATAGCTCATGCAAATATGTTGTCATTTTGTGTAACATGGTGTTCTTGCACTGCTGTTATGAAGACAAACGTTTGTTGTCAAACTGTATGCGTAATTTGTTATTGATAAATAGTTTTATTTAGTTTCATACATTACAATATGTAATCAATTAGTCATAAATAATCTTTCATTTTTAATTTTGTCCATGGGGAAAATGGAAACTCTCAGTAGAGAATAGCAGTGGCTGTAATAGGGTGTTTATAATATTTATTTAACAATTTTAGCAAATAAGCACTGATTATCACTCGATAGATGAATTGACTTGGTAATTACCTTAATCTTTCCCTTTTACCTCATATCCTTCTTCCAAAATAATTTTTATTTCCTTCTAAAAATCCAAACTATATTTTATTTCCTCTTATCAGTTGATAAATTAAGTTAATGAACATTTGGTTGCTAAGTGGTTGTAGATATAAAATATAAGTTCAAATTAATATTCTTATTATATGTTGGTTATATTTTTTTATTTCATTAATTTTCCACACCCACATTCAAAAACTTAAACCTGTCTCACACACACAATTATTTACTGTTGACAAGGCCTGTTACAAATTAGATTAATGAATATTTGATTGCTAAGTGGTTATGTATATATAAAATATAAGTTCAAATTAATATTCTTAAATATGTTGGTTATATTTTTTCATTTCATTAATTTTCCACACCCACATTCAAAAACTTAATCCTTTCTCACACTCACAATTTTTCAGTGGCGTATCTAG